AACTGTTCTGGAACAGTGTTGTAAATACAACTTAACCCCTGATTTCTAGTCGTGCCCTCTTTTGGAAGGCCAAACAAAGTAGTTTCGCTTTCACAACGAAACACACAGCGTCACACACGGCGGCCTAGACTGAGCAGAGGCCAGCAGGCTAGAGTGAGGAATGGCTGGCAGTTTCGATGAAGGAACGGTCGGCGGGTTTGCGGCAACCACATGTTATGACCCCGGGTTGGACTCCGCTTCATCCATGGTGAAAGCCGATCCGGCGATCCACAGCGCGAAGTTGATGTATTTTCTCAGCGACCAGCACAGATCAGCTCTAGGCATGATGAAGCGGATATCGTCCTCTTTTGGAAGGCCAAACAAAGTAGTTTTGCTTTCACAACGAAACACACAGCGTCTCCACGACATGGTGGCGGCAGCAACAACAATACTACAGCGAGAATCAAAGTTACGCCTTCTTTCTTTGCGTGAACATTTGGGCGGTGTTATGCAAATCTTCCCACACAGTGACGTAGACATGTGGGAGCGTGTTTGAATGAGGCATTTTAGGAGGGTGTGGACAAGTCTTAACTTTTATAAAGAATATCTCTTTGGGTTTGAGACTTTAGTCTTTGCAACTTTAGGGATCTTATCTATGCACGAACAGCTTGTAACACTCCAAAGAGAAAGGAAAATTTGAAATTGCATCATATGACACTTTTAAGACCTCTTATAATTAAGACTTTTGTTAAACCATTTAAGATATTTAGGACTTGAAAAACTTCATTTCAGACATTTCAGGGACCCACAGGATGAATTAAGTAAATATTGAATCATTTTATACTTATGTAATATAAGTTACACAGTTTTACAATATCTAGATTAGGGCAGTGGTTCTCAACCTTTATGAACATAAGACCGCCCCCCGCCCCCATTCCCCAAAACAGACTGAAATATTTACAAAATTTCTGCTGTAATTATAACAAAGCTGCTTGTTTTTATTAAAAAAAGTGATATATTGCAGCAAAGAACCATGACTGATTTTGTGATTCCACAAGTTGCAAGAACTATATGTTCAATAAAAACAAATAGTTTTTAGTTATTGATATAATGGTTATTGATTGTTTATGTTTTAGCAATTTAACTGAGATCATTTAGATTAAAGATAGATTATTTTAATATATTAGAATTTTTTTCCATTTTAATACTTAAAGGTCAATAAAAAAAAAACTCAGAATGCCTTAATGTTTTGCTGGCTCTTAAGTTCAGCGCACACTACAAGGACTTGCTTGTCACACTTTTATGCTCTGAGCCCCAGATCTTCATGGATACTACATATACTACATGCATAGTGTGCGCACTTGTGACACACTCGCAAACTTGTTTGAAATCTAGTCGAACTGTCAAATATTTGCATTTGTGCGTCTCCAAGCAGCAATGTCAAACCGCCAATGAGATTTCCAGGGGAAAAAGCGTAAAAGGAGGGCGAAGCAGTGGAAAACCAAAAACAACATAAAAAACATCAAAGTGGCAGCTAGCTACTGCCCACGTCTGCTCAACCACTGTCTCGTCCACATTGTTAGGCTCTTTTTCCCCATTCTTTGCAAATCGCAAGACCTTCCTCCACATTGTTTGCTGACATCTCATCAAGAATGGACTTACTATGGGTTAGCATGTGCATGAATTTGTGCCTTGCGAAGGGTGCTGAGTTTGTGTCTTGTAGTGCGTGGAGGTCTGTAATGCCTGGAGAAAGCTGTCCGTTAGCATTCGTTTCAATGCCAGTTGCGCAGTCTTCTTGGAAGTATGCAATTTGAATGCTGCCATCTTTGCTCGCAGCCACACAGTTACGGACACAATTGTTTACAAGTCAATCAGGGGCTAACTGGACCATGCTAACCAGCCAAACCTTGACCCCTTGGTGTGTTGCCTGTCTTGATTTGTCTCCCGAAATAACCAATATGATGGCTTTAGCTTCTCTTCTGGCCCCAAAAGCTCTAAAAAGCATCCAGATAACAGACTGACCGGTGCACAAGTTGAAAAATTGTTCTCTGGAAATTTTTCTTTACAACTCATTCAAAGTTATCTCAACATGACGGCTACAATGAAAGGGTCACTTACATACAATAAAACAGCTTTTTTTAGTCCACTCATTTCTTTAAGTACTATTCTCATTTCTAAGTGCACCTATTGCAGAGTGGAATAATGCACTCTGGAAACCCATGTTAGCCACTTTGCTGGATTGAGTTACAAGAAAGTGTACTGTTAGCCAGTGAGTTTGAGGCTTGTAAAAGGAACTGCTTGCCCAAAGTAGTAGGTGGCCAAGCTGTAGTACAGAAAGGCGAGCCAAAAGACACAGCATGAAGCATCTACATAAGTATGTTGAGATTACAGAATTTGAAAAAGATTGTGCTTTATCATGTTAACGTTGATGTAATCTCTCTTTCTCAAAGTATAACTACCATTGCACAGTAAATATGAAAGGATTTGCCTTGGGTTAGCTCTGTATTTGTGTATGTTCATCCATTTCATTACATTTCAAATAGATTTTCAAGCATGCAACCGTAAGCAATCCGTGCTTACCTGCGCAGAGCACTTGCCGGCACCTCCGGCTTCTCTGATTGGCCGTAGCAGCTAGCCGTTCCGTCAGGTATCCGACCTTCCTCTTTGAACATGGCAGCGGCTGCAGAACTGATAATTCCCACAGCGTCCTGCACACGCGTCTCCAGGGGATAATCCCATTCGTCGTACGCCACTGATATCATCCCCGTCGGAAAGGCTTCCGGGGTTTGTTCGAGATTTCCTGTCGTCAGACCAGGAACAATCCACACAAAGCCAGCCCCGGTGAGCCCTAGCGAACGGGCTTCCTCCATAACCAACTCCGCTTCGTCTTTGGAGCAGTAGAGGAGGATGACAGGTGACTGGATGCGTTTAAGCTGCACGTGGGCTCGGTCCTCAGGTTCGCCGACGCCGTCCAGCGTCACTACGCTCTGAAGGTCCCAACGAATGAAGCTGTGGTCCACTGTGACGTGGACGGTGGCTATGAACTCCTGGAAACCTGGGAACTTGGTGGTGACCACCGAAAAGACGTGCCAGTCATACTCCTCCATTATAGAAAGCATCAACAGCGCCTCCTGCTGGAGGGAGGCCCCAAACTGGAAAAATGAAGAATTGGCATCCTATAAAAAAAAGAGATAGAGAGAGAGCAAGAGGGAGGGAGAGCCAGAAAGAACAGGTGGTGGAAGAGAAAAGGAGAAAGGGAAACATGAGTAGGAGGGAAGACAGAAAATGAAAGTTAGATAAAGAAATGCGGGGAAATACAAACCATGTGTTGTCACATCCGACTCTGATAGTTGGGTAATTGTACTTCCACCTGCATTCTTGCCAATGGACAGTCGTCAGTTCGGATAAATCAACTAAACTATCTTAGCTGAACTGGAACAATAAAACCTCAACATTTTAAACTGTTTCCTTAGCTTGACATGGTACCTTTCTGCTAGTGTTAGCTTCCATTTTAAATGTACAACAGTATCTGAAAAAATAAATAGCGAGGTGATTCTCAGACAGATTGTTACGGTCCATGAAGAAAAACGATGAGTTGTACACTATTCAGGTGACTCTCAGAGGATTTCATGCAGCCAACTCAAGTCCAAAGAGACGTTTTAAAAACTAATGTTACTTCTTACATTTCACTGATGCTGTTGCAGCACATTATTTTCCTTTGTACTTCAAACGTAATGTAGTTGCAGACACAGCAATGTTTCCCTCTTTGCTATTATGTACACTGCATCCAAATCTAAAATCACATCTGCAGTCTATCTTGTTGTATACATTTGGTCATTATGCATTCAAGCTCATTTGGTTGGGGCTAGAAATATGCCTTTATCTGAAATTTATCTGAAATCCAGCCTTGGTGAACATAAGAGATAGTAGTGTACTTTGATATTTTGTGTCTAATGCAATGATATTCATAGATATAAGTGTGTTACGTTAGGTACTCCTGCTTTAAACCATAAAATAACTGCTTTTATCCAGCCGTAGAACATGAAATCATTTTGTTTCGTCACCCCTGAGAAATATTTGAAAACGGTGGAAAGGCTGTTTCTCACTGCCACTGATAAAGCAGAAGTTCCTTTACCCTACTACTGAAGCCTTCAGCTTTGCGAACGTGAAAGTGTGAAAAGGTCTATAGAGGGAACAGGAACAAGCAAGAGAGAGAAGGGCAGGCATCAGGAGCAAACAGTGAGCCGTTGAATCCAGGAGAAGGGAGAAAGACAGAAATTGCTGCACACTGTCACTCTGGAGTCACTGACTGAGTTAAGAATAATGACTGCATCCTTGTGCGGTGACAGCTTGATATCTCAGAATACACAAACACATAAACGAGCGACAATGGAGCTTATGAATATCATGGTTCACGCGCTGTGCAAACACACAGGCGCTGATCTGTCCACCACGGTGCTGTGACAGATTTAAAATACTGAGCTTAAGCAAACAGTGATACGCAAATAAACAGGTAAGGAGGAGGTATTCGCCGAGGATTAGCACCATACTTTGAGCAGAATAAAATAAAGAGGCCAAAGGCAATTGAATTTACATGAGGTAAATGTATGCTCCTCAAACTGTACTTCACTGTAACTGAACCTACTGAGAAAATGTAATCTTCAGCTCGTAACTGAGTCACAAAGCAATACATCTCCACTGATCCAAAACTGAGCGAGCACCACACTTCACATAAACCAGTTATGTCACATTCTAAAAATATATCACACAAACAATTCAGGAGACATTAAAACTGTGTCCCAGATATACTGAGGAGTTAATAAATCAATGCAAATGTAGTGGCTGCACTCAATGTTTTGGATGGTCCCTTTTGCACTGTGAATGCAGCACTTCAGCGTTTAAGAGGCTCTAGGATGAAACTGGATTAGAGGTATGCACACAGCTCGGGCGCGCTCACATATACACACGAAGGCCCACACAAATCTCAGGTGTCAACGGATATAAGCCAAGGTGCATGTACTGTACGTATATAGCCATGTACATGTGCGCACACATACAGTGTATCTAATCAAAAATAACCGCTCTCAGACCAGGTTTCGAAAATTAATCATACAGACTTGGACATAATTTTTTTTATTGGTACTTGAGGTGCTGAGAGGTTTTCCAGTTTGGCAGGAGGTTGATAAGCATGTGAAGAGGGTTAGGATTTAGCTGCAGAGCTGGAGGTTTGCAGGTAGATGCACACACAAACAAACACACAAAAGATGTGTGTGCCGGGAAATTGCTTTAATCAGAGAGGGTATGAGGGTCGGAGCGTGGAAATATCCTTCCATTAAAGCACTTCTTCAATCTTCTCACCCATTTGTCCACACATCCTGACCTTGGAGCTGCCATTTTCTTGATAATGCTGCATATGAATGTTGCTTAATGAAATCCTTTTTTTGATTGCCAGTACGAAGATATACAGTATAATCATGGCAACACTGTCTAGTTTTAATTTTTTATGCTTTCTGTTTCACTTTTTGTATTCCAGCTTTGGAATGTCATGCAAATTTAAAAATAGAAGGAAAAATCATATCAATAATGTAACATCTGTATGGATCTTTTGAAATAATCTCAAATGATATGGACAGACTCCAGAGATTATCCTGATTATCCACACATACTTACTGATGCTTACCATTCACACATACTGATTAGCCCTAAAAAAAAAAAAAAGGTAAAAATGCTCATTCATATTTGTATTTCCAAAATACAGTTTATCAAAGATTATTTTATTTGTTTATGATGGTTGTTAGCATTATGATTCAGAATACAACGCTTGGGAGCTTGCTGTCCTACGGTAATTTTATTTTTTTTTTTTTAAATACAGATGCTTAAACACATTAGAGAGTAATGAGCTACTCTGGCACTAAAGACATTTGGAATAAATCTTTCTGAATGTATTCTATATGTCCCAAAGCAATCCCATTTTTTGGTGGAAAATGCCTGTTGTTCTCACTTCATCAAAGCAGGAGATTGTACATGTTCATTATTTTTTACATTTAGAATGAGTGTTTTATGATGACAAAGGCAAAGGAAATCTTTGAAAGAAATGATCATTTAATAACCCTGTTAAATGTAAAATGAGCAAATCTCAAAAAATCTCCATTTTCATTCTTTACATTATAATGTTGTGATGCTCAAATTCACTTGCAGTGAATGATTGATTTTATTTTTCAGAAAAAAATAGTATGGAACGTAAATATGATGTATCGGCATTAAAATATTCATAGACTTATCAATAGTTGCCAGAATTGTAATATTAATGTATACAAATGCCATACTCCATTTTGAGGCACTTACACTACCATTCTACAAAAGTTTGGGTTTAGTATTTTGTCGTTGTTTTTTGTTTGTGCTTGTTTGTTTGAAAATAAATTAATACTTCTGATGAATTAAATGCATATTTGCTGAATAACGGTCAATTAAAGACATTTAATAATGACATTTAAAGACATGTTACAAAAGACTTCTACTTCAAATAAATGTTGTCCTTTGTTTCTATTCACAAAAGAATCCTTGAAAAAACAGGCCATGTTTCCACTTGTTTCTGGCTGCTGAAAATTTTGTTTTGCCATTACATCATTTTCTAAAATATTTTACAGTAGAACATAGCTATTACAGCTGTAGTCAGGAATGACCAACTCATTTCAGCTGGCATGATTTTGGAGAGAATAAAAGACATAGTCCATGATGTTTATTAATTTAGACAGTACTCAGTCAATTATCTCCAAGTTAGAGCCAACAACAGAACTTGCCTTTTTTGGTTGAGCATGTTCAACCCTTTAGCATCCCCTGCTCTGATGATCACTGAAGAGCTCAGTCATGAAGGATAGGAGCGATTTGGACAGTACTTTCTCCTTGGCATGAAAGTGGTACCTCAGGCATTCTGCTAGATGACCTGTCTCTCCCATAGCCACTGGGTGTTGTTCCACCATTGACCTCTTAGATCAGATCAAGAAAGGACACTCAGTAAGGATCAGCTTTTATACGCTGACAGCCAGCACCATCCAGCCAGTTCCTGTGAGCCCCAGGCTTCAACTTACCTTCATAAAGATATATTAGAGCCAAGGGATCCATCAGTCAGAAACTGACCCTTGCAAAGTCCAGGTACACAGAGGTACATGAAGCTTTTGCAATCAAGTGTACTGTTCTGTTGATAACATCTGTGATAGTAATAGAAAACCAGACTGACCTGAACATGATTTCTTGTACATGGTGCCGACCGACAATCCTTGACCTTGCCACTCATTTTCACCTTTACCACTTCAAGAAACCCACTGAGAAAAATGATTTCGAATCATGTACACTAACCTAAGTATCTGAATTAGTTGCATTGCCATTTTGTCTAAAGTTCAGATGGGGTGGGGCTTATGACGAGTTCACACTGCATGATTTTAGCCCTGACTTACACTCGCCGACAGGTTTTATGAAAATCGCAGACAAATGCCCGAAATCGGAGGCAAATCTGTGCTCGTTCACGCAAGTGACAATCACACAGTGTGAATTATCAAAGACGTAATCTCAGAGTCGCCAAAGCCTGTGAAATATTTGGCATGCTAAATATCTGGACCTGTGAGCGATTCAAAATCAATTGCTGTGTGAAATGAGTTCTGACTGAAAAAACATTGGCGATGATCTTCAGCCATTGAGAGAGCAAGATACAGGGCAGCGGGAAGTTCGGCGAGGAGTTACGGACCACAATATCAGCGTGATCTTGCGTTATTTCCTTATCACGTGCATTTGGTTGTGAATTGTAGTTTCACCAGACAGCGTTGTCAGCAATTCTTCCTATTGTAAAGTCATGCAGCCCCAGTCAATGCTACCCCAGATAGTCGTGCAGTGTGAAATCAACGGTGATCCAACGACTTTGAAAATCGTGCAGTGTGAACCCGGCATTACATTCAACCAGTCAAAAGTTTGGACGCACCTTCTTCTTTAGTGGTTTTTCTTTATTTTTTATTCTTTTTTAACATTGTATATTAATAAAGAAGACATCCAAGCTATGAAAAAACATGAATGAAATTATGTAGTAAACAAAAAAGTTTTAAACAACCCAGAATATGTTTTATATTTTAGATTGTCCAAAGTACCTGCATTTAGCTTAAAAGGGGTCATATGACATTACTAAAAA